GGTGCACACCTGTAGTTCTGACACTCAGAAGGCTGAGGCAGGAGGATTGCCAAGAGTTCAAGTCCAGTCTATACTACTTAGTGAGTTCAAGGCCAGCCTGAATTATATAGCAAGACTCTGTCTCAAAACAAGCAGAAATCAGTGAAATTTAGATCAAGTAAACAATACAAATAATGAATGAATAAAAGAGTTGATTCTTTTAACAAAATAGACAAGCCCTTAATCACTCTAATCAAAAGACAAAAAAGACACAAATTAATGCAAGTAACAATAAAAAAGGTGAAATCATGGTCAGTATTGCTGAAATAAAAAAGATTATTGAAATTATTTCACAAATCTGTTCACCAATAAATTGGAGAATTTACAGGATATAGAATCTTAGATGCATATGTATTACCAAAAGTGAACCAAAAAGATTTTTAAACCCTAAATAATCTAACAACAAGCAGTGAAATAAAAAACCTAACAAGAAAATCCCAGGTTCTGACAGATACACTCCAGAATTCTACATGAATTTCAGATACAATCCAATACTGGCACTCCTTGACTTCTTATGAAATTTTAAGAGAAGGAAGGAGTACTCCCAGAGCTATTCCTGGAAGCTAGCATTACCCTGATTCTAAAGCCAGGAAAGGACCCAACCATGAAAAAGATCTACAGACCAGTCTCTTTAATGAACACAGATGCAACCCCCCCCCAAGATAGCAGCAAACAGAACGCAGTGAATCATTAAAAGGATCATACGTCATGCCCAAGTAGGATTCACCCCAGAGAAGCAGAGATGATTTGACATCCACAAATCAATAAGTATAACCTATCACAAAAGCAGAAGCAAGGACAGAAATCACACATTCATCTCAATAGACACAGAAAAAGCCTGTGAAAAACTCCAACATCCTTTCATGATAAAATGCTGAAGAAAATAGCTATAAAAGACCTTATCTCAATCGGATAAAAGCCATTTATGACAAACCTATTGCCAATATCATATTAAGTGAAGAAAGCTGAAAGCTTTCCCTCTAAAATTAGGAACAAGACAAGCATGTCCATTATCCTCACTCCTGCTCAGTAGTACACAAAACATTAGCAAGAACAGTCAGGCAAGTAAAAGAAATAAAAGGGATATGTGTAGAAAAGGAAGGAGTCAAGTTATTATTTGCAGATGACATGATTCTTTACATAGAAAACCCAAAAAAGTCTGCCCGAAGACTTGAAGAATAACCAACTTCAGAGATGTAGCAGAATACAAAATCAACACAAAAATCAAGAGCATTCTTACATGCCAGTAATGAATCCACTGAGAAAGAGAAGCTGAAGAGGACATTAGAAAATGGGAAAATACCCCAATTTCTGGAGAGACTGAACCAATATAGTCAAAATGGGTGATTTTTTCAAAGTTGAAACACAGATTTAATTCAATCCCAGTCAAAATAACACTGCATTCTTCACAGAACTGGAGAAAACAATCCTACATTCATGTGGAATCAGAAGAGACCCAGAATAGCAAAAGTCATAGATAGATGGCAGCAGCCTCGAAAGTTCTTGTTCTCAGATCCTGCCCAGTGGTACCAAGTGTCTAACTGTATAGGTCCAGAAAGTGAGGAGGGGATGCTCTTCTTCGATTTGTTTTTCCCTTTCTGTTTAGTGTCTCTTTGAATTGAAAGCAGCCGCTGCTTCTCAGAACTAGGGGCCATCTGCATCCTCCTCAGAAAATGTACATTTTTCCTTTAAATAAAACTGACCAAAAAAATTTTAAATGTGTTTTCCTGTATTCAGATAACAAGCAGGCCATGTAAAGACTAGAGAGTGTGACTGTTGTGGGAGGCTCTGGTGTCCCCCGTGGAGAGGAAAAGCGGTGCCCTGCTGCAGCCTGAGGTGGTTCCAGCCCGCAATAAGGGTCTATAGGCTCTGGGTTGGGGTCTTCCCTTGCTGTGAAGATAACCCCCTGGGGGGAGCTTGCTCTTGCTTTTAGGGACCTTTGAGACTAGAGATACAGTGCGCACTACATATTTACAACACTTAGCTGACGTTTTTGATCAAGAAAATGCTTCTTTGACCCATAGCTACTTGTTTATTTTTGAAAGGACCTTATTGCCTAATTAATGAAAATTAAATTGAGCCTGTTAACAAAAAGCATAAAACTCAGAATCCTGCCACTCAGTGTTGGTTTTACTCTGACAAGGACAGACCAGTGACGACACCTGACAAGGTATTAATATCCAAAATATATAAGAAACTCAAATAATCCAATAATCCAATAGTAAAACAGCTACCAAATAATCCAGTTTTTGAATGGGCACTAGATCTACATAAACATTTCTCAAAAGACATACCAATAGTCAACAAGTATATGGAAAAAAATGTTCACCGTCACCAGTCGTCAGGGAAAGGCAAATCAAAAGCATATTTTCACCTCACTCCCACAAGAATTACCAAGGACAGAAGATAAAAGCTGGAGTGGGGCCGGGGAGATGGCTCAGTAGAGCAAGTGCAAGAGTCTGAGTTCAATCCCCAGTTCCGAAAAAAAAAAAAAAAAAAATGGTGAGGGTAAGAAAAGGGAACTCTTGTGCACTGTTGGAGCAAATGCACAGCCATGATTGGAGGGCTCTCAAATAATTAAACCTAGAACAATTACATGATCCAGCAGCCCAGTCCTGGATACATATAAAAGGAAGTGGAGTCAACCATGTGGAAGGGACATAGATGTACTCCAGGTTCACTGTAGCACTATTCATGACAGCCAAGAACTGGAAACCTAACTATTCAACTGATTGATGGCATCTTAGTTACTTTCCCCATCACTGAGACAAAATACCAACACCTGCAAAGGAGATGGTTTATTTTGGCTCGTGTTTCAGTACCTAGTCGGCTGGCCCCAAGGCAGGACAGCATCCATCCCACAGGGGCCTGGCGGAAGAGACTTACTCATGGTGTGGCAGACAGGAGGTAGAGAGAATGAAGGGGAGGGTGGGGAGTGTGATACACCCTTCCAGTGCAGGCCCCACCTCCTCAGAGCACATTAGCTGTGTAAACTTCACAGTGGACTAATCCACTGTGGGCACGGCCTCCTCATGATCCAGTCTCCTCCCAAAAGCCCTACTGTGGTCACATGAGGCTTTGGAGGCATATCTAGATACAAATCATGACAAATAGATAAAAATGTGGTATATTTACGTAAAGAAATTCTGTCATTTTTGACAACATGAATGAAATTGAAGAGCCTCATGTTAAGTGAAATAAGCCAGGCATAGAAAGACATACACAGGACCTCACACCTCTGTGAAACCTACAGAAGCTCATCTCATAGAAATGGAGAGTAGGCTAGTGGTTACAAGAGGCTCAGAGAGGCAAAAGGGGGTGGAGAAAGGGTGGCCAATGGGTGCTAAACAACCAAACAGATTAGTTTGGCTGTTCTATTTCACAGTAAGAGTGACTTCCAGATAATGTATATTTCAAAAAAACCCAGAAGACTAGATTTTGAATATTTTTACCACAAAGAAATGATAAATATTAGAGAAATTTAAATACCCAGACTACCTGTTTATGTACCTAAGACCTTGTAATGCCAAACCCTGCTCTTTCTACTCTACCCTATATCTCATCTAGAAAACTGAACAGCACAATTTTTTCCCACCTTTTTGTAGAGGTTTACAAAACCTCTACAAAACCACACTCATGTGGCAGGCCCATAGTTCATTCGTTCATTTGTTTGTTCTTTCTTTCTTTCTTTCTTTCTTTCTTTCTTTCTTTCTTTCTTTCTGTATTTAGTACAGGGTCTACAGAGTCTCACTACACAGATAGGACTTACAGTGATTTGACTGTTTTCAGCCTCCCCAGCACTAGGATTACAGGTGCGCGCCACCATACCCAGTCTCAATCTCTATCTCAGCGTGCCCCAGGGGCAGGGCTGGCATGACACTTCTGGGGTCGAACCCCAGTCCCTGCATCTGCCTAACAAGGCCCTTTAGTCCACTGAGCTGTCTGGCCAGCCTTAGATAGTACTTTACATTGGCCCAAAGACCTTATTCCATAACCTGTCAACCTTTGTATTACCTTCCCATTGGTTGGGAAAGTGACATACAATGGCCAGGCAAACCAGGTTTTTAAACTTTGTAATGAATATCATTATGGTGGTCACAGCTATGGCACACAAGATTGACTGACAGAGTAAGGACAAAGGGCTTGGTTCTTTGAAGGAATGCATGAAATAGACAAGCCCTTAGCCATTCTAACCAAAAAGGCAGAAAAGACACAAATAAATGCACACAAAAATGAAAAAGATGAAATCACAATCAGTACTGGCGAAATCAAAGAGATTACTGACAATTTGCAAACCTGCTCGCCAATGAATTGGAGAATTTACAAGAAATTGAGATTCTTAGACATGTATGAATCACCAAGTCTTTGTCCTTAGTCCATCAGTACTTTGCATATATTCTCTCCCACGTTAGGTTTTTCTCTTCACTATGTTTTCTTTGCTGTGTAGAAGTTTTTTAGTTTAATGTAATCCCATTTGTCTATATCTACTTTTGTTGCCTGTGGGCATCTTTTCCGAATATTTTTTGCCCATTCCAGTGTCCTGAAGCATTTCCTCTATATTTTCTTCTAGTAGTTTCATAGTTTTAGGTCTTACATTTAAGCCTTTCATCCATCTTTAGGTGATTTTTGTAACTGATGAGAGATGGTGATTTTATAACTAGTGCAAGTCTAGTTTCATTCTTTTGCATGTAGCACCATTTGTTGAAGAGAAAACGTTGGGCAACTTTGAAGGCTGTGGAGCAGAGAGGTGAGCGCTGCACCTCTTATAGCTGTCCATGAGAAGTGGTGAGCACTGGCTTGACTGTCACTTGGCACAGGGCTTCCAAGACCCCTTCTGAAGACTTCACTGTGCACATGCTTATTCCTAACCAGCCACCTTCCAGCTAATCCTTCTCATTGTGTCACAAGTGTGGATACGAAAGCGTGAGCTTCAAATCATGTTATTTGCTTTCTTCTTTCAGATCTGTAAGAGCAAAGCTAAAGAATCGCAGCAGTATTATCACAGCTTGGCTGTTCGGCAGAGTCTGGCTGTCCACTTCAACATCCAGCAGGACTGTGGTCATTTCCTTGCCGAAGTTCCTAACCGTCTACTTCCCTGGGAGGATCCTGATGCCCCTGAAAAGGCAGAGGATGAGATGGAAGAGAGGGCAGAAGAGGTTAAAGGAGAAACTGTTGGGGGGAAATCAGAGCCCTGTTGTGAAACTGAGTCATCGCAGAAGGACAGCCAGGGCGTCTCGAACAGGAAGCAGAGAAGCCACGTTGTAGTGATCACCAGAGAAGTTCCCCATCTCACGGTGGCCGACTTTGTGCGAGACTCTCTGACCCAGCACAGCAAAAGCCCCGATGTGTATGAGAGACAGGTGTGTCTGCTGCTCTTACAACTGTGCTCCGGCCTCGAGCACCTCAAGCCCTACCATGTCACACACTGCGATCTCCGCCTAGAGAATCTGCTGCTTGTCCACCACCAGCCTGGAGGAGCTACCCAGGGCCTCGGGCCTTCAGAGCCCAGCCCCATCTCCTCTTGTCCCACAAGGCTTATTGTGAGCAACTTCTCTCAGGCCAAGCAGAAGAGCCATCTGGTGGACCCAGAGATCCTGCGAGACCAGTCCCGCCTTGCCCCAGAGATCATAACTGCCACTCAGTATAAAAAGTGTGACGAGTTCCAGACAGGCATCCTCATCTATGAGATGCTGCACCTACCCAACCCCTTCGATGAGAACCCTGAGCTGAAGGAGAGGGAGTACACGCGCACAGACCTGCCTCACATTCCTCTCCGCTCCCCCTACTCCCGGGGCCTGCAACAGCTGGCCAGCTGCCTCCTGAACCCCAACCCTTCTGAGCGCATCCTCATCTCCGACGCCAGAGGCATCCTCCAGTGTCTGCTGTGGGGGCCCCGTGAAGACCTCTTCCAGACCTTTGCCGCATCTCCAAGCCTGGCGCAGAGGAATGCCCTGCTGCAGAACTGGCTGGACATTAAGAGAACCCTGCTGATGATCAAATTTGCTGAGAAGTCTCTGGACAGGGAGGGTGGCATCAGCCTCGAGGACTGGCTTTGTGCTCAGTACCTGGCTTTTGTCACCACAGACTCCCTTGGCTGTATTGTGAAGATCTTGCAACCCCGTTAATGTAACCAGGATGCTGCTTGTGTCACATCCCCTCTTCATCGTCACCCCACACTTCGCTGTCCTGGTCTTCACCCAGAACCCCCAGGGTAGAGAGAGCCCTTCCACCCCTGTCCATGAACAAATGGGTACATTCAGGAGCTCACTCACCGCTCCAGATCAAGTAAGAAGCTCTCTTAACTACAGCAGTGCAGCTGCACAAATACGCTGGAGCACCTTCCATCCTCAGTCCCTTCCATGCAGCAAAAACTGCAGCTGCATCTCCTTGAAGGGTCTGCTCCTGTGGTCTGAGTTCAGTGAGCTATGTTCAGTTCCCGCGTAATTCTGATGAGCACCTGTCTTTTAGCAGCAAGTATTTATTCTCATTATCAATAGCCAGATAAGCCAGCTTCTGCCAGCGTCCAGTCACCTCTTAAACAGCCTCCTCCTTCCTTTAAGTTGTCAGTAATAGAATCTCTACCAGGCAGACATGTCATTCTTAGCATCAGCTCAGCTTTGTTTGCCAGGACTGTGTCCTTTGTTTCTACAGGCAGCAGAAAGAAAAAGAGATTCCTGCTCCTTGGGTCAGAGACCTGTTTTTATTTCTATTACCAGTAAGTGTGTGCACTGCACGGAGAATGGCCTTAATAGCCTCCCCCTTGCTGCCACTGCCTGGTGCTTCACCTCTACTCTGTCCCCACTTGTGGCCCATTACAGAGCTGACCCTTCGTGGTGTTGCTGGTGCCCCAGAAGGGTACAGCGAGTTGAGAGCTTATGAATATCTGGCAGGGCATGAGGAGATGATTTTCTTGCATGTGCAATTCACTAGGGCCCACCAGGGAACAGAACTTGAAACACCATTTTTTGATTGCTGTCAGAGCTGTCAGTATTGAGCGCCAAGGTCAGCAGAGCCTGGATCCAAGTTCTCCCCTGAGCAGTGATTGGCCAGCTTCCTCCTATCAGTAGCCGGGGTTAGCTGGTTGACCAAATGCTGTAGATACAGCCCTGAATGAAGTGGCATCCATTTATCTCTGAGGTCTCCTTAGATGGCAGTGTGAGAGGCTGACTACTGCAATGACCAGAAGGCAAAGGACAGGGAGATGGCCACAGATGAGACAGCTGGCCTCCTCCAGAGAGCCTGCCATGGCCTGCGTGGCACATTGCTCCCGAGACTCAAGGGGCTCCAGAGGACAGCTCGCAGGAAGGCAGATAGCTGAGGGCTGACTGAGAGCTACTCGCCACAGAGCCACGCTCCTCTGCAGTGGATGTATGTGCAATTTCTGTTTGTATTTTTTAGCTGTATATTACAGTGTTTATGTTGCAACTTCACCTGAAGCAAGATCTGCAGAAACCCTCCCTCTTCCCTGCACACCAAGCCGAATATTCCTTCCCCTGTGCGTGCATGTGCCCGCTTGTTTATTCAAAACTGTGAGTTTACGTCAGCTTTGAGTCCCAGGAGTCATTCGCATGGTGTGTGTGTGCACACATGCTAGGGCAGAGGCCAGGCCTCGAGAGCAGCCTGTGGCAGGGCTGACAGACCTGTGCTCTGCACTGTCAGTGAGTGAGCCTGTGGCCCCAGCTGCCTGTGTGATTTATAAAAGCCGAGATGGACTGTGCAGTATTACTTAGATGGCACATTAGTGGCCTTGGACATTTCTAAACTTTTAATATTTTTAACAGCCTTTCATGTGATTCACCTGTATCAAAGAGGATCAAGAAAGGAGAAGAATGTATTTTATTGTGCTTTTTATGTTGTTTTTAAGAGAATGACATTTGCAAGGCTCTACCTGTAAGAGGCCCTTGTCCTCTAGGACTTCTGGGAAGGCAGGCTGGCTGGCTGGTCCCAGAGTCTTGCCTTCTCTGTGCAGAGGGCAAGCTCAGCCTCTGTACTGTGGCTTGGCCGCCTTGCCGGTGGGTGATATTTGGTTTAGCACGCAGAGCCATGCACACCTAACTCCTTGCCTGATTATGCACTGAGCTGGCCGTCCACAGACCATTGCCCACGTCAGCAACAACCCCCCCCCAGTGGTTTGCAAATTGAGACATACCTTCTCAATGTCGTTCTCGCGGTGCCTTGCCCAAGTAAATTTGAATGTTGACTATTTAATGAGGTTACATATTTAATGCAGAATGTTCCCCGGTCCTTCTGTTCTGTCCCAAGGTATCTTTGTTTTTTCCATTTTCCCTGCTATGACTTGGATACAGTCTTTACAGTAGAACAGGATGGGCACCTCCACTACCATGGTCTGACAGCACTGGGAAATAGCACCTCCTTGTACCACATGTGTCTATTACTGTTTTTATGTCCACATTTGTGAAGGGCCAAGGATGCATGCCTAGGAGTCAAGAAGGGCCTCCAGCCCCTCAGACAATGGCCAAGGAGCGGGAGGGGGAACACAACAGGTTAGAGCAGAGAGAGAAAAACTCTTTCTAGGCAAGACACACATCGGATGGTCCTCACAATCGTCTTCCAAAGTAATGAAATTCAGTCTAACATTATTATGAATATTTTATACTTCAATTTTAATTTTGATAGAAACTTGGAATTCATTTATCAACTGGAAATTCTACCCTCTGTAGACATAGTTACACACACATTTTTTATACATATGTATGTATATGAGTTTTGGATTGCAAATAGCATAGCACTTTTTCTCAAGTAACATCAAGTTACTGTCCTCAATACTGATTGGAAATGTGGTGGGGTTTTTCCCGTCAGAGTCTATACTATTGATTCTTTCATTTCTGTTGAGCATTCGAACAATTAAGCCCTTACTGAGCTTCTCCTTAAGCCACACAAGCATGAACAATCTGACACGTTTGGGTCCTGGGGAACAGGACGGAGACTGGAGCAGCTGGGGTCAGGCGTGAATGTATCACAGAGTGCCTTGTTGGAGTGCAGCGTGGTCCTGGCAGGATGAGTGGGGTCGTAGAGGACAGGGCGCAGAGAGCCCGCTAGAGCACATACAGCAGTGAGCCGTGCCGAAGCGAGGCACAAACAGCGGGATGGGAAAGGCAGTGAGAACCTGTAGAGCAGCGGTGTGAGAACCGTGAGTGGGACCATCGGACTGAGACCGCTAGCAGCGGAAGCCAGGAGCCTGGCGATGCCTTTCAGGACGCACCCTCAGAGGGCAAACTGGGTGAGGGACACGAGGGGCACAGCACCCACACCACCTAATTACTGTGGGGCTCGAGTGAAGCACATGAGGGGTTAGTGCCGGGCAGGCAGAGGCCAGGTCTGCTTCCAGACTCAGAGTACACCTGTGCGCAGGTAAAGCTCTAAGCCAGGAAACCTGCACCTCTAGAGATACACGGGACAGTTCTGGAAGTACAGCTACCTATAATTGTATTTCAAAGTTTCTAATATTATAAAATTTCCATGCAAGATCTTTTGGCCCTGGAAGTAGCACAACATGAAAGGATTGTGTCCAGCTTCTGGCATTGGAGTTGTGAACACCCTGGCACTGGGAAGTCACCTAACATTTGGTTTTGCCTGAAACCTGCAGTTAGCATTTTCCCCATAATTTTACTAGAAACTGTGTTTCTAGTAAAGTGATTCCTGAGCTAGAAGTGGTCAGGAAATGCATTCCGGCCCCACAAGCTGGGTGGATGCAGGGCTCTGCACTCATGTGTTGTAGATGATGGCAGCTGCGTGAAATGTGAGCACCTTGGGGACCAGGCTCCCTGGCTGTGCTTCCCACGCCCCTTGCCAGCAGAGTACGCTGAGGCTGTGCCCTTGCTGATGTGTGCCCTGGAGCCAGCTGTCCGTGCTTGCGGCAGCACTGCCACCGGGGGCACAGCAGGAAGCCAGAAAAGCCATGGTGCTAGACGCTGGCCGGAGATGATACCAAAGAAATCAGCCCTTTTGTCCTGCTGCTTCTCAGCTAGTGAGGCTGTGTGACAGACCCCAGGGAGGGAAATTCATACACATTCCGGATCAGCTGTTCAGCTGGTAAAATAAGTTCATCCTCCAAAAAGCACCTAGTTAAAAAGTTCATTTTGTATATTAGGAGAGGAAGAAAGAATGATGATGATGATGATGAGGAGGAGGAGGAGGAGGAGGAAGCCTGGGGCAGATAGTGACATCCCTGGTGTCTGAGGAGGAACTCCCCACCGCACTGTAGCGTGACAGTGGCCCAGACCTCTGCGTGGGAACATCATCACCGTATGATGCCGAGGACTGTGCATTTGTTTTGTTTTGTTTTTTAAAGACATAAGGTAGTTTCAGTAGCTATGTTTAAAGAATTTTGGGGAGTTTTCTTACCACATTGTACCATTTTTATAAACCTTCCTACAAAGGCATTTACCTTGCAGCATCCTTCTACTTAGTATTTATAAGTGCCCAGACTGTACAAGGTGCTATCCAGCTGTTACACAGCTCCTCTCCACAGCTGTTGGAAATTAGCATAGACGTCTGCATCCACCACTGCCGGAGGCTTTGCCTGCCCAGGGGGCTGCCAGAGGCCATATTCCAAACCCCACCCACAGTCCACTCCCAGGGCCTCCCAGCCTCCCACCACAACCCCATACATCCCCATGTTTGGTTTTTTGTTTTTTTTTTTTAATCAAGAATGTTTCAGGGAGTCAAAAGAGGTCAGAAGTTTTTTAACCTAGCAGAACTACAGAAGTATATATTTTGCTACAAATATTATTATAGTACAGGAAATCCACTTTGCCCACTAGTGTGCGGCTAGTGCGTATGTCTGCAGTCTCGATCACTTGAATGTTGCACTTCCCCCCGGGGCTTCGCAGTGGCCTTGTGGGAAGGTTATCCACACTGCTCCACCACTACGTGGCGTCCCTTCCTTCGCTGACTGTAGCGTGCTGCATGTGAACTCGGGGCTGGGATTTCTGTGGATGACATGCAGGGCATTTTGGTGTGAGATCCAGGCAGAAGCGTGGTGTCTGCCGTCAGAACCATGACGGCCCTCATTCCAATCTCTAATTCTCCATTGCACTGCCCACACTCTATATTTGAAAATCTCGTTTCTCTTGCTCTTTCCAGAGCTTCACTCTCCACTTACATATTGTAGAATTGTATAAATCTACCAGTAACAGGTCCCCTCTGTCACCAGTGGTGCCGCCCTTTGGTTTGCTGTGGTACTTTGCTGTGTACTCTGTGGCATCGTGTTATTATGTAAATAAACTCATTTTAATATGCACTAAAAACCGGACTTCGTGCATTCATCCTTTCTGCGGCACATGCACGCTAACTTGCTGGGGACAGTTTGGACAGGATGGATGCCTGTCCTTAAAATAAAATAACCCGCCCTTGAGGGCTTCACCGCTGCCTACATAGACTTTCCCCTTTGCTTGCTTTCTCTTCTGAGAAATTAGGCCTAGGGGAGAGAGAAAGGAACACACTGCTCACCGCGTCCCCCGGGGCGGGGTGGGGGAGGTGCGGACCGCACAGGTTTGCTGTGTGCGATCGCCCCCTGGTGGTCAGTCTGCTGCAGGCCGCCGGGTCTGTGGCACTGTGGGAAGGCTTCTAACTGCTGACTTTCCTAGTGGGAATCACAGAGCTGTGCAGAAAACGTGGGCAAGAGCAGAGCTCAGAAAGCATCGCCCACAGAATCTATGCGCCTTTGGCCTCACAAAGGCCAGTGAGCTCATAAGCTGGCTCTTTGGTAGCAGACAGGCAAGAGGCCACCGGCTTGACCAGCCAGTAGTAAAAACTCCCATTGTACTGGAGTGGGATGGAGGAACATGTAACCTGGGAGGCTTCAGATTTAGACCCAGTCTTAGAGTTGTGGGCCCTGCAGTGGACACTGCCTGCAACCTGCATTTCTGTTCTATATCAGGAAGCACTCTAGTTTGCCCATCGTGTTTTAGGGACCTTCCTGGAAAAATGGCCACCAGATGAGTTTTGTATCTCCAGGGAGTAAAACCCACATTTATGTGGAACTAAACTGTGTTTCCCAGGCCCTGGAGGAGGAGTCAGTAAAGCCACCAGTCAGAAGGAACACAGGAGTATATGGGCTTCTAGGAGACAGAAGCAAGGCAAGAACTGGGCTGGGGCTGGGAGATCAAAGGGAGGCACCCTGAAGCCAGCTCACAGCCTTGAGGCCCTGGGGTGCTGGCCTAGCTGGACAAGGGGGAGGGGAGGTGGGGACTAGGCAGCCAGTGGAAGCATGAGCTTTTGAGTCTTCATGCACCCACTTCTGGCTTTAGAATAAAAGCCTGGAGTGGAGTTACCCATTGGCTCTCCACCACCCCATCTGTAGGGGACCATTCCCAGGAGCTCCCAGTAGGAACCCAGCAAAGCTCTTTTCACGGGGTTATCCAGAGGCTATGGACCACTGACACTTCCCTGCAGCCTCTGTGGTCACTCATCTGCAGAGTGACATCTTTCAGTCTGTGCGACAGCTTGGGTTGCTTTCCCACCTAGAATAAACTGGGGCTGGAAGTTCTCAGGGTACAGGGGTCCTAAGCATGCGCCCTCTACTCCAGGACCTCTGCCCGCTGTCCAGGACACAGTAAATCACTCTTTCTCATAAGGGAGCCTAGGCCCTGCGAGTCAAGGTGCTTCACTGGCACCTTATGAGGCAAGAACTGCGGGTCCCAAGTTGGCAATCAAGAGCAGCTAAAATAGTTAGATTTCACAGTGAGTAGGGGAAGGGAGACTGATTCCAAAAAGTCCAGCTTCAAAATGCAAATCTCCGAGAGGAGACAGACAGCCTAGGCACAGCCTAACTTCTAGAGATCCCAAATAACCAACCCTCTGTGCACATGTACAAGCACATATGCACGTGCACATGCACATAGTCGTGAGTACACTCCTTCCTAGCCCTCTGGAAGGTGCTCCTCTTGGGCACAAAGCAGTGCTCTCAGATCTGACCCTCACTCACAAGCCATACAGGAGCTAGAGTCTGAGGCAGTGTAAAATCTCCCAGCCCGTGCTCCATCTGTCCAGTCACTCTTGCTCCAGGTGCCTTTCCTCTGTCACTTGTCACCCAAGTGGACACCACTGTCTCCTAGCAGGTGTCTGTGGGCTTCACCTCTTCTCCAGCAGAGGCTCTCAGAGCAGCTTCTGGACACACAGAGCAACTGAGACTCCAGAAAAGACACTGGCTCCTCCTTCCCCTCTTCTCTCTACATCAGGGAGGGGGTTATCTGACCCCTTCCCATCTCCACTCCTACCTGGGCAAAGGAATCACTATGTTGGTGAAAATAAACAACACACCCACGGGGGGTGACATTATGAGCTGTAACATGTGCAAGTGACATCTCACTCAACAGCACATCCTGGACATCAAGCTTCTCAAAAGCAGCCTCTCCTACTAAAATGATACAATTGTACAACACACATGCCAGCAAAGGGGAAGGGTCCAGTTGCTTCACTATTTGGAAAATAATTATTCTGCACACTCTAAGCTGGTATAAATTCAAACAGATCAAACAAAGAGTTACATCCAGAAAGGAAAAGAAAAGAGAAAAGAAGCCCTAAGAACTAAGTCAATATCTGCTTTATCTCTCATTGAAGAAGAGAGTTTTAAACTAAGACGCAATGGGAGGCCTCTGAAAGGGGGAGATCAATAGGTTTGACTGAAGATGCTAAACCTTTGCCCACTGAAAACATTAGAAACCACACAGAAAGTAAAGAGCTAGGGAAACTATTTCAACGAATATAACAGCTATGGGTTAAACTCCTGAGTTATGAGGAGCTCGAACAAATCATCAGGAACACATGACACCACCAGACAGTGGACTGATACAGAAGAATCCAAAGCTTTAACCTTTCTAGAAATAAGAGAAATGAGCAGCCAAGATGGCTTATCTAAAAAATCATTTTAATAGCCTTTTCTGATTACAAAAGCAATTCTTTGTGATAGACAATCCAGAGAATAGAACTGACCCCCTAGGTCACCATCCAGCAATGACAGCCACTAATGCACACTATATATCCTACAAGCATTGTGTGCTCCAGCTTTTCTTTAATGACCATCTTCCTCATGCTCTGCCTATGAAATGAACAAAGCTCTTTTCCACTGGACACTCAGTTCCAACAGTGGCACATCTAGTTTGGTGCTAGTGCAGTCGATTGGGTGAGAAGGGGCTGGGGTGTCAGGAAGAGCTGCTCCCGGCAGACAGGCCGGGATGTGGGACTTTCAAGCCTCCACGCTCAGAGAGCCAAGTCCCGGGGAGCTCTGTGGGAGACAGGTGTGAGGGGCCTCTCCCAAGTCCAGTGGCTCAGAGGTCCCAAGCATACTGAGCTCACAAGGGTCCTCTCTGCCCAGTGGGTTGCAGGGTTCACCTTGGTTTAATGGTGGCTATGTCACAGGACCACATCAGGATGACGGCACATCACTCAGCAGATGCTCACTGCTAGGCAAGTAGCACATAAGAACAAACCCCCAGTGGGCATCATTTTGGCTTGCAGTTTTTATAACTAAGGCACTGTGTGTTCAAATCCCTACCTCACCAGAGTCAGAGAAACAACTGCTGCTTTGGAATGGCAGCTTCCCTGGCTCCCCAACACCTCCTGCTGGCTCTCAGACCAGCTCTAAGTACCTCCTACCTACCCAGAGCGACGCAGTGGGTCCACCCCAACCCCATCCCCAGCAGGTCCTCTTCCCCCGACTTGGTCCCTTCCTGGGGATGCAGGGCTGGCTTCAGCACTACTCATAATGCTGCTTGGTATAATAAATGCTGCCGTCCAATGTACTTGATTCTGGCGAGATTCATTAAACACACTGTAGATACATTTTCATTGAATTAAATTGTTTCCTGATTGCAGTAAGTGTGAATTAACTGAGGGGGCTGGGTGTCCTTGGACCTCGCAGCTTCTCTGTTTAATGAGGAGGTGAGTGTGGGCTCCTTTTGGCCACAAAGCTGATTTAAATTTATCTTTCATGCTAATAAAGTGATCAGGTGAATGCAGCAAGCATTTAGTGTATCTAGATTTTGGAGCTGCTTCACCCACAGAGCTACTTGGTGGGCCTGCCTGGCCGCGCTAAGGATGACCCACTTCTGCCTCAGAACTTCAGCTTCCTTTCTCTAGAGAAAGAAAGGAGCTCCAAGTTCTTCAGGCCGTGCTTCGTCTCCCTAGAGCCTGATCTCCTCTGAAGGCACAGCTGCTGGCTCCGAGAGGCACAGCCACCAGCAGATGAGAGCTCGTGTCACCCTCCAGTCCAGA